TCATAACCATAAGAAATCTCTGTTCAAAGCAGAGTCGACTGGACGATTTTCAAATATAGCATGAACATCTGCCTCTGGATCCAACCTGCTGCTCGCGAACAGATGTTCATATACTGCCCACTGGTAGCACCCTTCACAAATACGGCAAAGGCAAGACACTTGTTCAACAGGCATAAAACAAGGACATGTTTTAACTCACACATTATTAAGACATATCGTCAGACATGCCTCGTCGTCATACCTCGCTTCATAGTCGTCTGCAAACACCCCAAGATATTCCGCCTGCAGTCCTAGAATTATGATGACAGTAGCACTGTTAGACGCGTTACCTCCTCGCCGCCAGTAATAGTCTGTGCACCTGAAATGTACACATTCCAAATAGCGACACAAAGGTTATCCACTACTTTCAGTTGTTGTTGCAGTCATTAATAACCAGTGACTACACAATACCATTTAGAAAGAGGTCAAGTGTAACATGATATATTTGGGATTACACTTTCTCAGTAATTGCGCAGATCGATGCTCATGATGTTGATCACTGGATTGTCTGGTCCAAACTCGATTATTTACAGACCGCCGCCATATGGCTGGAATATTGCTGAGTGCGGCGTAAAACTCAACTCACCAACTTTCTCAGTAAAGTACCGATTCTAGTACGTTTGTTAGGTAAAGTCCCATCCGGGATTCGAACCCACACTCTCAGAGTCAGGCACCTAATCGACATGGGGGATCGAACCCCCAAATGGGTATAATCTATTTCTGGTGCCCCGTGCTTTGATATTGCTGGAATATTACTAAAAGCGGCTTAAAGTCCACCACACTCATTCGAATAAGATCATGTCTACTGATAATTATACACCAAGAACTTAATTAAGCACCCCCTGCATTTTTGCAATGATAGGTTTTCAACACGTACATAAAACTTCTCGTGGTGACCACGATGGAAAACATGACCTTTTCCGACCCGCATGATCCGTAGACTCATAACAAACGACAAAATGATTGGAATCCATGTTGGTTTTATGATGATAATTGCTCAATTTAAAGAAACACTGATTTTCATACAAAACCATGTCTGTACAAGTGGCCCTGGAATGTTTAATGTTGAATTTATTGGTGAGTGTGAACATTCAAAATGTCATTTTGCGTGTCTTACACGATTCAAGGCCAATTCCGGGTGTAAGTCCCATGTGACTGTATGACAGCCCGCACCCTCCTCGTCCCCTGTCAGTCTCCTGATCCTCTGAATGGGCAGTCTACGCCATTCCTCGTGTAATGCAGCTTCCAATTGGACCAGGTTCTGTACAGGAGGATCCTTTTGCTGCACATGACGACCAGTCATGTCCCAGATATGATCCAAAGGGTTACAATTGGGGCTCATTCAATGGTGAGATATGTTAGGGGGTGCTTAACTAAGTCCTTTGTGTATATATATAGTTTGTTTTTGTTGTTATTTGTTTTGGTCATAATGCGCATGTTGTCTAAATGGACCAGACACTGGCGCACATACATGTGCTCATACTATCGTACACCTTTACCTGCACACACTTCTACCCAACATACATACACACCTCACCAAACCATACACATACCTAGTACATATAACACAACCCACACACATGCACCTTGGCCTCTTGCCACCTTGGCACAAGAGTCGAGGTCACCCAGTCAGGGTGACATCTAGCCAAGTAGATCACTTCTATTGCGAAGAATAGCTATCTTCATCACACTCCTTAACAACGACATGTGTCCTTGAGGAAGAAGGGAAGAAGAAATGACCTTGTGCTGAATAGGTACAAATCTTACCCTGTAAAGTAGCTGTTGAAAAACTGTCAAAATAAAATCACCACTGCAACTGTTATCTGTTTGGCAATGGTAACTAATAACTACACACGCGCTTAACCAGTTATCATGGTTATTTCTAGCTGTTAAGTTCCCACATGGGCACAATGTGTGAAGCCCACTTCTTGTGTCCCCCGACGTGATATTGCTGGAATATTGCCAAAAGCGGCGTGAAAATATAAAAACTCACTTTAGCTTTTCACAAGAAAATACTTTATGCAACTTCTTCACAGCGTCAATGTTGGACAATGAGAGATGCGGGATTTCAGGTTAAATAGAACGCCATTTCTTCCAATTATCACTACTGCTGTTATAACACAAATGCACAATAAATGTATATAAAAGTCCACATACCTGTACATGTTTTTAGACATAATTAGAAAGGGGGCTGTGAAATTCAGAATAATTAATGAAATATTAGGTATGGATCAATAGAAGGGGTTTTGAAATAGGTCGTAAACTATTTGAATATGACGGGGTCATGTATTTACAATAAAGCCTCCATATATTTCAACCGACGAGCCGGTATGAACGACATCGATCGTTCAACTTTATACGAATTACAATACGAATATATAACAGAAAAAGGAAAATAATAGCAATTGATAATCAAGTTGAAACTGAAATCAGTATCTTGGCCTAGTATATATGCTTAGATCTGTTTCAAATAAATGTTTACAAAGAGAGGTATCGCACACTGATTACATCGCTCGAGGACATTTGGATCAAGGTTGCCTATTATCAGAAAACACGGCGCCACGTCGAGCTGAATTAAATCAAGTTCTCTGCAATATCTTATCAACACTGTTTTAAAACAATATGAACAATATTGTTTTAACTTAATTAATGTCCGATTTTTTCACCTTAAAACGACCGTGTGTTTTTTTAACCATTATATGATTACCTCCCATACATGCTGAAATTGATAAACGACTGATATCATAACATACTAAATGAGCGCAGGGCCTATTCAGGTCGATACTAGGTCCCGCGTTCTCGATTGTGTTGAACCGGCACATAGATTCACTCTCATTATTGCGGTATACTTCCCAATAAATGTCGTGCATTTCTGGCTTTAAATATTTTGTACTTAAAGGTCACATGCAACCAAAAAATCAAACATAATTAAAACACAATTATCACTTATTCATGACATATAATATACATTGCTGGTTATGAAAAAACATATAAACAAAATTATAAGCGTACAATCGCAAATCAAAAGTGCAGTATTGTGTACTTGGGTTTACTTCCCAAGAAACGAAGCAGCCGGGATACCGAACCCAGTCAGAGCGGGTGGGTGTACACTCAAGTGTAACGGCTGGTTCATTTGCAGATGCCCTCACGGCTTATTGTGTGTGTATATATGGAGATGTTGGGTTTTGTAAATACATGCTCATTTTTTGTGTATAACATTTTACAACCAACAGACATCATAACATGTCATGTAATCAAGTATCACACCTGCCTGTCTGTGTAATTACATAATGTGAAAGAGACCGAACTCGGGCCATAAATCAATGCATTTTGTTTATGGTGTATAGCCTGATTGGTGTTAAGTTCAAATTGCATGTGGTCAGTGATAGCAGTTGTGTATTGAATATTGTCATTAGCAGACAGGCAGGCAGACACACAGGTGTCAATAAAACAAGACATTGAGTTTTGTCTGTGACAACGACATATCTATATCACAGTTAGAAATTCTGTCAACGCTAAATAATGACATTGCTTTTAAGTATCGAACTGAGAAAGTGACTCGGTAAGAAGAACGTGTGGTGAAATAGACAAATGAAATTATATAAACAGTTAATTTACTGTCATAACATATAAAAAGCTCGCGCCTGTGAGATATCAACAAAACATTAGAAAAATAGCTCACACCAAAGCCTTCACCGAGTATTCACCGGACAACCCGCTTCCAAGCTGCGCGAACCTATTTCACTGCGCACGTGCTATGAGTGCATCCCAGCTGTTGAAACCCGTTTTCCCCAGAAAAGTCTGGGGAAAATTAGTGAAACGTTTGAACTCCGATTTCGCGCGGTTTTTTTCATCGCGGTATTTTTCAACTTTATGAGTTGAATTTGCATTTTTGACGATTTGTTTCGGTAAGTCCATACCGAAAGGTATCAGAATCTGCAAAGTTGTGTTTTACGTTGCATGTGACCTTTAACTAATAACAAAATATCAGCAAGTATAAGAACTACTTCACCAAGTGTGATTTTTATGAATACTTGTATCAGAAATCGAAATGCACGTTTCAGTTACCCACAAACTATAAAAATATTTTTTTAAATATAAAAAGAATGCATTATCCGTTCATGTTTGCCACTATTGTCTGACTCGTACGCAGTTATCTCCCCTCCCCCCCCACCCACCCCACCCCGTGCTCATAAAACTAACTGTCGTTGTCAAGTGTAGAAAAAATTAGGAATGCAAGGATTACCCATCGTCCCATGGATGCAGGATGTTTAACAGAATTATTATAAACAGATCACCGCAGACACGCCGAGAAAAACTGTGATAATTTGGAATATTGCGGGTTCACTCGCTGATGAAACTGTAAGTGCATGTCGACTTGACCAATTGCATTACCGCTGTAATACTCGCCTTTGATCGGTATCCTCCTTTGGATAACTCTTTACAACGTTGACCATATCAAGATATGAGCGTCCAACATACAATATTCGCCTTGACGTATCCATTGTCGCTCTCAAACCGAACATACACGATCCCTTATATGGCGCTGGACTAGACAAGGGAGACAACTTCATACGACTCTCGCGTACAATGTTACTTTCTATTTGAGTAGCAGAGATATAGACATAACTAGTGAGTTCGAGCCTCACATACAGCCGCGCAGTGCTTTATGTTATGTTGTCCACATATGCTGCTTATGTATCAAAGCCATTGTAAAACAAAATGTCCAAAATAACTTAAATGTATTAGCATACAAAGGGCTTGACATAACTGCAGAACTGCAAATCGAACTCTGGATGTTTTGGGGAGACCAAACACTTAATAATGCTTGATTGTTGTTTTGAGTGATTCTCATCGTATTTCTCATTGTAAGGTTGTGGCAATTTGTCAGTTCCAACTAGTACTCCGCCCAGTATCAAGGTTATCTTTAACAGTCTCTCCAATACATGGACCTATCACACACGCAGATCTACTTATTAATTCTATATATTATGATATTATTATCCTTAGATTAAATGTTCAGGAATTAATTCCGGAATTTTTAAAGAAGATAATTTAAAAGTAAAAAGTAATTCCTTGTTTTTGTCCCCTATGTAAAGTATTAAACGAAAGAAGTGGGTGAGTGTCATATGCCTTTCTGACGTTCTATATTTGATTCAACTGGGTCGATGTTTCGGTGTCCTCCCATTTGTGAGAACTCCAAGTTGTGAGACACATTAATTAATGGTTCAGTGCACACAGGTGGTGCTTCCCCATCCCTACGATGAAAGGGAACAGCCCTGTTGCTGAAGAGTACTCGCAGGAGGCATAGTTCATTAATGAGTTAATTAACACAGAAGACATTGTTCGTTGAAGAGCATTTATTGTTTTCAATAGATACTGAATTACTGAAAAAGATTATCCTGAACTGGTGATATATTCTACTTGTTGAAGGCCTGCCATAATAGTGATCGGAAAGAGCAGTCAAAGGTTAATAAATACATTTGGATTAATTATTGTTACAACAGTTATTGCTAGATTTTCAAACACGTACATCTGAGTAGGTAAATTAATTTCTCTTTCAAATGATCACGAAGTTACCTACACAAAGTGTTTATTTTTTAAAGCCATTTATCTGAGTAGGTTAATTACTTTATCTTTTAGAGTTTCATTAAGTTACCCCCACAAGATTCAGTTAAATAGCTAACCCATAATTAGCTGGGGTTAATCCATTCTATCAGATAGGGGAGTAACCTCTGCTAGTGGACAGAAGTCCCCGAGTTTCATCATAGTGAGTGAGTTAATATTTAACGTTACATCGACAATGTTTCAGCCATATTGTGACGAGAATAATCATTTATCACACTAAAGATCAATAAAATTAGAAAATAAAAAACCTGTTGACGATGAACAGTAAAAATACTAGCGTATCACAGATAAGGTAAAACTAGCATGTAATCATGAAACGATATTATTAAAGAGAACAAAACAATATACAACGGGCTATGGGTCGCCAGCAACTGAAGGTACATGTAGATCACCATACAACGGGCTATGGGTCGCCAGCAACTGAAGGTACATGTAGATCACCATACAACGGGCTATGGGTCACCAGCAACTGAAGGTACATGTAGATCACCATACAACGGGCTATGGGTCTGAAGGTACATGGGGCTCGCCAGCAACTGAAGGTACATGTAGATCACCATACAACGGGCTATGGGTCGCCAGCAACTGAAGGTACATGTAGATCACCATACAACGGGCTATGGGTCGCCAGCAACTGAAGGTACATGTAGATCACCATACAACGGGCTATGGGTCGCCAGCAACTGAAGGTACATGTAGATCACCATACAACGGGCTATGGGTCGCCAGCAACTGAAGGTACATGTAGATCACCATACAACGGGCTATGGGTCGCCAGCAACTGAAGGTACATGTAGATCACCATACAACGGGCTATGGGTCGCCAGCAACTGAAGGTACATGTAGATCACCATACAACGGGCTATGGGTCGCCAGCAACTGAAGGTACATGTAGATCACCATACAAGGGACTATGGGGACTTAAAATAGAGTGCCGAGTCAACTGCAAAAGAAATGTTTGGTCCGAGACATTTAAACTGACCCCCATTGAACACAAATCAATTTGTCTGTACTTACTTACTTACTTACTTATACTTACTTATTTCCTCTTCAGCATCTGTTGAGTGACTGACTCTTGCCCTGTTCTTCGCGTACTTCTGCACGGCAATTCTAAACTATCTAAATTGTTATTTCGGTTCATCGGTCTCTTGATTGACTGGTTTGTTTACAGTCCGACGCTGCTGGCTGAGGCCAGTGGGAGGTGCATGGTTCGAAACCATCGGTGTCGTGGCGTCGTTACTACTGGGCGGCCATTACGGGGATGGTCCAGAACGATCAACAAACTTCTGACTTCTGCCCTTTTTAAGTAAGAGAGTGGGTTTAGTTTCAAGCCTCTGATAAGTGTAAATTGCGAGGGACTAATGGCCCAAAGATGATTACACAATTTACACTTCTCAGAGGAGTACACAGAGTCCGCAGTCAAGACTACCAGTTGTCCGACTTCCATTTTTGTGGAGTCGCGGTGGCTGAGCAGTTTAGGCGGCTGACTTTGTGTGCTGGCGATTAGGTGCCTGACTGTGAAGGTGTGGGTTCTAATCCCGCATGGGACTCAACCCAACAAAAATTACTAGAATCTGTACTTTTCTAAAAAAAGTGTAATCCCAAATATAACATATGTTGCTAATTAATTGTTGCAGTTTGCAACATGGAGCTCGAGGTAGCGGTTGCAGGCTCACTCTCACTTGGCCAGAGTCTACCCAAAAAGGTCTTGTTAAGGCAACATTGCACTACGGCTAGGTGAGAGATGTGAGCCAGGTAATTAGCATTAACAGGGAGAATAGAAGACGTAGATTATACCTGGCATTAGCATGTCCTAATCATGACCATTTAGTTGATACAGACTGTGGCTCAACCCACATATATGAAAACTTGCAAGAACGATACAAGAATCTTTATGGAAACGTCGCATCATCTGAATAAAGAAGTTGTACATCCATAAAGTTTTCTCCACAAAGTTGTGTTGTATATGAAATACAACAGTTTCAAGGTAACAGAACATTTCCAAATACACATTGATGCGGATTTCAAAAAGGTCTGTTCTCAACTCATGCTTCATTTTGTATCCAGGAGGCGGCTGTTTACTACATAGAGCAAGATGATTCACTGAAAGCTGTGATGCTGGACAGTACAAAGGCCTTTGATACGGTTTGGCATAGCGGGCTGCTATGGAAACTACATGAAATGAAGAATCAAGAGCCTATTTGGAGGATAATATCTAACTGCTACGAAGGGATGAAGAGCTGTGTGCTAGTGAATGGTAAAAATCCTACTGATTTAATCTAGAGAGAGGTGTCCGGCAGGGCGGAGTTCTATCAGCAAAACTCTATTTAGTATTCATCAACGACCTGCTTCGAAAGCTTACATCATCTCAAATGGGGGCTATGGTCTTGGACGTACATGTTTCTGCCCCAACACAAGCTGACGATATGACACTGTTGAGTCCTCTGACAGCTAACCTGCAAGCTATGACAGACATGTGTGTTCAATACAGTAGCATGTGGCGCTTCATGTTTTCGGCATCAAAGAGTACTGTGATGTCATTTGGTAAAAGGGAGGCAGCCCCAGTGAAAATATCTCTGTACGGATCCAATATCCCTAACGTCACTGAAACCAAACATCTTGGCATTGAGTTGAACAGTAAATTAAATTCTTGGAACAGAACCGTAAAGGCCTGCTCAAAGCTAAAATCAACCTCAATGGCACTAATTAAACATGGATTCCATTCACACGCCCATAATTCACTAACCAGTATAAAAGTCTTCCAGTCCATATGTTTACCCAAATCCCTATACGGTTCTGAGCTTTGGTCTTGTCTGACTAAGGGTGAGATCCTAAAAAAAAAGTAAGGCCAGAAATGTTTGGAAAATGCTTTTTGACTTCAATATCAATATGATGAATTTGACACAAGATAAAAGCACACATATGATACATGTACGATTCTACCTAGTTGGAAATTAAAGCTCAGATGAAAAAATGCACTTGAGGGGTGACTTCACAGGAGGAAATTTTTGACGTTTAACAACATTCGTAAATATTCTAAGTACAAATTGTAGTTTTGAAATACAGACTATAATTATTCATATAGCTTCAACTAATTAAATTACATGAATGATTGTAAAAAGTTTTGTTTTTTGGAACATCTATATGTGAAAAAGACGGAACTGTTGTAGTAGTTAAAAAAGTCTTAATTCAAATCGCATAGATAATCTTGTTCACCCATAGACGTTTCACTTCGTGTATGAGCATTGAACTGGCAACATGCGACTTGATATCTCTGCAGAACAATTAATTTCAAATATATACCAGTATTTCATACTGGAGAAACAAAGGGAGAAGCCTCTCGTCAGCTATGACAGGCTTTACTACAGAATGTGTAAAGCCTTTAATTTGACATATAGTCAGGTTTACAAAGTTGTAAACAAATCGGGGCGGTGGGTAGCCTAGTGGTTAAAGCGTTGGCTCGTCACGCCGAAGACCCGGGTTCGATTCCCCACATGGGCACAATGTGTTAAGCCCATTTTCTGGTGTCCCCCGCCGTGATATTGCTGGAATATTGCTAAAAAGCGGCGTAAAACTAAACTCAGTCAGTGTAAACAAATCAGTTACCACAGGGGTCGTGTCAAAATCAAAACCAGGTAGGAAACACAAACTGGATAGCATTGATAAGGGTGTCATACGCCGTGCAGTTTATAAACTGTATGAACGCAAAATCCCACCGACGTGTGCTAACATACAAGATGAGATCAAAGATACAATAAATGTCCTGGTGAAATTCCGCTAGAGTCCTCCACCAGCTGTGATACTGACACTTTATATTTTGAGACGGTCCCTGACGTTACATAACGATGTCACCCTGTCTGCTTGCCAGGTGGGTCACAGTATAGTTTGTTTCTTAGAAGTGT